CAGGGCCAGGGGTCAGAGGGAGTGACCACCGTGGAGGTCCAGGCTAAGGAGTAACGGGGTAGATGCAGAGTCCAAAGGAACCTTTTTTTTTAAAGAGAAAAATTCTTGTTTCAGATTTGGAGTTAGCTAAGGATAGGAGATTTTCTAAAAATTTTCCTGGGGACCCAGCTCATCGTTGCTCAAAGGAAATTGTGACTGCTTAGTAAAACAGGGGGATCAGCAAACCTACAAAGAAACAAACTATGCAAGAGCCCCAACATGGGGAAAATCCATTTGTAATTCATTTAAGGGTAAGGGAACACACAGAGAACACTCAGCTCATGCAGTTAACTTTTTTTATTTTTAATTTTATTTAAGGAGTACAACTTCATGCATTTAATATATACAGATCTGAAGACATGATGCTTCTTCCCTCCCTACTTCCTTCACACCTATACTCCTGCCTTTCTTCCTCCTCCCTCTTCCTTTCCCATTCTTATTTTTTACAGAGATCAATTTTCAGTTAGTTTTTATACTCATAAGATTAACTCTGTACTAAGTAGAGAGTTTACCTATTAGTATGAAGAAAATAGAAGTAAGCTGCTTTTTTTCCTCATGCAATTTTTTTTTTTTTTTTTTGACAGGCAGAGTGGAGAGTGAGAGAGAGAGACAGAAAGGTCTTCCTTTTGCCATTGGTTCACCCTCCAATGGCCGCCACGGCCAGCGCGCTGTGGCCGGTGCACCGCGCTGATCCGAAGGCAGGAGCCAGGTGCTTCTCCTGGTCTCCCATGGGGTGCAGGACCCAAGCACTTGGGCCATCCTCCACTGCCTTCCCTGGCCACAGCAGAGAGCTGGCCTGGAAGAGGGGCAACCGGGAAAGAATCCAGTGCCCCGACTGGGACTAGAACCCGGTGTGCCAGCGCTGCTAGGTGGAGGATTAGCCTATTGAGCCGCGGCACCGGCTCCTCATGCAATTTTAAAAACTAAATATGAGGATTTTACCATGTTCTTACTGATTAACCAGTAATAGGGGAAGAAAAGTAATAGGGGAAGAAAAGGAGTATTGAAAACCTTTTTTTTTTTTAAAGGGAAAGAGTTTATTGGGGGAACTCGATAGACTGGAGGGAAGGGCCAATGAAGGAGAGCGTAAGAAAGCGAGACAGAGATCAGGAGAGAGAGAGAGAGAGAGAGCGAGCATGTACCATGTGTACAGGAACAGTTCCTCTTAAAACTTCTCAGGAAAGTAGGAGCAGCGAATCCCATTAGGATGGGGGTGGGGCTTACACCAGTGGTTGGGCCATGTGGCCACCTGGCTTCCAGCAGTGGCGGTGGGGGCTAGAGCCTAGGATGGTGTCAGGGTGTGGATCATGCCATAGATAAGATTGCGCCATTTTACCAACATTCTCCCCTTTTGTTTTTTATAAAGCAAGAGTTGTGTGGGATTACATTAACCCCAACAGTCCAGGAGGGGTAGAGGGACGATGATCTATCTTTAGAGCTACTTTTTGCAGACATGGGGCAACGAGGTGCTCTTCGCTGGCATGAGATGATGTCTGAAGCCTCTGTCTTCTGGGTAGGGAGCCGAGTATATCCCTGTAGCAGCATTTAGGAAAACCTTTTTTTAAATCACGTCTATATTGAATATATTCAAACCTTTTTGTGTGTCCTTATTCTCTAAACAATATATGTAACAACATTCTACATAGCTTGTCCATGTATTAGGTATTATAAGTCATCTAGAGATGATTTAAAGTACACAGGAAGATGATGCCTACGTTGTATGCAAATACAGTACCATTTTATATGAAGGGCTTGAGCACCTGCCAGGTTTGGTACCTAGGAAGGGCTGTGTGGTGTTCAAGCTGAAGCTGTACATGTGAATATTTACTCCCAGTCCCAATGAAAACAGTCTTCTAGACCTGTTCCTGTTTAAGGTCAAAACTACACATTGAACAATCATAAATAATAGTATATTATAAATTACCAAAGATTTCAAAGACATACCATGATCCGATTTGGTATCTTTCAAATGCATGCATAGATGGGGTCTTCAGAAGTTCTGTGGGAGGAGTATGCCTTGTGGTGCAGTGGGTGAAGCTGCTGTTTTTGATACCAGCATCCCATATTAAAGTGCTGCTTTCAGTCACAACTACTGCACTTCCGATCCAGCTCCCTGATAATGCATCTGGAAAGACAATGGAAGATAGCTGGGGTGCTTAGGCCACTGCCACCCATATCGGAAGCCAAGATGTAGTTTCTGGCTCCTGGCTTCAGCCTGATCCAGCCCTGGCTATTGCAACCATTTGGGGAGTGAACCAGTGGATGGAAGATCTCTCCGTCTCTGCCAGTCTGCCTTTCAAATAAATAAATACATCTTTTTAAAAAGAAAACATGGGAAATACATCTGAATAAAAAACTGCTGACATTTAGGCCAGCGCCGCAGCTCACTAGGCTAATCCTCTGCCTAGCGGCGCCGGCACACTGGGTTCTAGTCCTGGTTGGGGCACCGGATTCTGTCCCGGTTGCCCCTCTTCCAGGCCAGCTCTCTGCTGTGGCCCGGGAGTGCAGTGGAGGATGGCCCAAGTGCTTGGGCCCTGCACCCCATGGGAGACCAGGAAAAGCACCTGGCTCCTGGCTCCTGCCATCGGATCAGTGCGGTGCGCTGGCCGCAGCGCGCCGGCCGCAGCAGCCATTGGAGGGTGAACCAACAGCAAAGGAAGACCTTTCTCTCTGTCTCTCTCTCTCACTGTCCACTCTGCCTGTCAAAAAAAACAAAAAAAATTTAAAAAAAAAACTGCTGACATTTAAATTTTCTGCACAAAATAAACTTTTCTTTTAAGCCTATTTTTCCATGACCTCTCTGATGTACCTGCTCTTCAGAAGGACCCTGAATGTCTGTCCTGATGCCATCACTTTCCCTGCCTGGCCAGGAACTCTGGGGCTTCCAAGGGGCTTCACAGGAGCTGCTATGCAGGGCCTCAAAGTATTTTCTCCCTTCTGAGGGGTGAACAAGTTCCTTTTCTAAGAATGCACAGCTGTCAATGTGATGCAGCCAGTGGTGCAGTGGGTGAAGCTGCTGCTTGCAACTCCAGCACTCCATATCAGAGTGTCAGTTTGAATCAAAGCTATTACTCTTCATTTCCAGCTTCCTGCTAATGACTTGGGAAGGTATTGGAAGACCCATGTGCTTAGGTCCCTGCCACCCATATAGAAAACCAGAAGTGAATTCTGGCCCCTGGCTTTGGCCTGGCCCAACCCTGGCCTTTGTTTGTGTTTAGAGAGTAAACTAGTAGATGGAAGGTTGCTTTCTCTCTCTGCCTCTCCCTCCCTCCCTGTCACTCTGCACTTCAAATACATAAATAAATAACTCAAAAAATAACGTAAGACTCTTCATAACTGACTTACTTCCAGTCACAAGGATGTGACTTTTCTGTTCCCCTGAATAAGAGAGAAATCACCCATCTTTCCCCTTCAACATTTCAGCTGGAACTTGCTGGCTGAGTGTTAGATTCTTAGACACAGTTCACCCTTGGAATAGTTCCAGCTCACCTGTACCTTTTATAGTTAATTAACATGCATTACAGGCAAGATTCTTTTTATATATATATATATAAGGTTTGTTTGTTTATCCAAAAGGCAGAATGGTGGGGCAGGTCGAGGGGTGGTGTGGAGACAGAGATCGTCCATCCACTGGTTCATTCCCTAAGTGCCCCCATCAGCCAGAGCCAGAAACTGCATCCATCCCAACCCCTGGTTGGCCAGGACCCAAGCCCTGGAGCTTTCCCAAGTACATTACCAGGGAGTTAGGATAGGAAGCAGAGCAGCCAAGACTCCAGTATGAGATGCCTGTGTCCCAAGCAGCACCTTAACCTGCTGTGCTACAATGCCAGCCCCATTTTTTTTTTAATTTTTAAGATTTTATTTTTATTTATATGAGAGATAGATTTACAGACAGTGAGAGGGAAAGACAGAGAGAAAGGTCTTCCATCCGCTGATTCACTCCCCGAATGGTCCCAACAGCTGGAACTGAGCCGATCTGAAGCCAGGAGCCAGGAGCATCTTCTGGGTCTCCCACGTGGATGCAGAGGCCCAAGGACTTGAGCCATCTTCTACTGCTTTCTCAGGCCATAGCAGAGAGCTGGATCAGAAGTGGAGCAGCCGAGACTCGAACCAGCACCCATGTGGGATGCTGGCATCGCAGGTGGAGGATTAACCTACTGTGCCACAGCGCTGGCCCCCATTATTTTAAACAATGTTTTAAATGACACTTAAACAGGATTTCATGAAACTAATAATGATGCAAAGAACTTTTTTGACTTAACCCTTAATATCTTTTTGAATTCCATTTTTTGGTTATCTATTATAGAAAATATAGCTGATATAAGTCACATTACCTTTATTCTTAATAAATCTTTTTTTTTTTAATTTGTCAATTTATTTGAAAGTCAGAGTTACAGAGAGAGAGGGAGAGACAAGGAGAGAGATCTTCCATTCACTGGTTTACTCAACAGATGGCTCCAACAGCTGTGGCTGGGCCAGGCCGAAGCCAGGAGCTCTTTCTGGGTCTCCCACATGGATACAGGGGCCCAAACACTTGGGCTATCATCTGCTGCTTTTCCCAGGCCATTAACAGGGATTTGAATGAGTATCCAGGGCATGAACCAGTGCCCATATGAGATGCTGGCATCACAGGCAACAGCTTTTCCTACTATGCAACAACACCAGCCCCAATTCTTAATAGATTTTTTAGGTTTCCTCAAGTGTTTTTGGAATTTAATAGAATAAAGTCTCCGAACTGTCAAATCCTATTTTTCATTTCTCCTTATATACTGCTGTTGATACATGAGATTGGGGTCAGGAGGTTTTCTGCAAGTTATGTTTTAATCCCCAATGTTTGTCTCATGAAATTGGCAAATATATCTTAAAAGAAGGAAAATTGACTAGCTAAACATTTCATTTTGTTCCATTTTTGCCTTAATTTAAGTATATAATTTGTGACATAATTCTCCATTAATTTACAGACATGTTTTCCACAAATCCTGCGTGGACCCCTGGCTTAGTGAGCATTGCACTTGTCCAATGTGCAAACTTAATATTTTGAAGGCCCTTGGAATTGTGGTATGTTTCCTATTTTGTGATCACTTTTGTGTAATATCGTATCTACGTGTCATATAACACAGTTGGCATAATAGGCATGAGTAAGTCTCATGAGAATACACAGGCGCTCCTTGTCTTTAACCTTGTTAGTCCAGCAGTGCCTCTCTTCCAGACTGCTTGTGATCTAACCCATCTCAGGGAACTCCTAGGATGGATGATAAATAACTGTATTAGTCCACTGTTAAAAGGAAGCTTCTGTTGAATTGTGATATGTGGTGAAGAACTGATATGTAGACAAAGACATTATTTTCCTTCATTCCAAATCTTTTTTTAAAGGAAAAAATATAGAGAGTGACTTTTGACTCTGGTCCAATTTTGACTGGTAATATTTTAAGCATTTAGCTTAATATAAAATGATGTCATCACTTATGTTCCCTCCTCTAACATTTGCCTTTGATTTCTTGGGTGTTGGCAAGTTGCAAGCAGTAAAAGTGGGTGGTGAGCAAATTCCCAGAAGAAGCTTTAACAGCCTGGCCAGGGTGGCAGCCAGGTCTGCATCCCAGAGGTCAGTTCTGGCAGGCGCTCCGATAGCACTGACTCACCAAAGACCTTGGAGGCTTCCTACACGAGTATTTCCTTGCTTACGGGAAGTATTTATCCAGGCTTATGCTTTTTAGAAGAAAAAAAAAATACTTGCTAGTCTCAATAAATGAATCAAGAAATAATCTCCTTATGGATCAAAAAGTTGAGTTTTTTCTAACATGTGAACTCCTCATTTCAGCCTTGCAACTCAACTGAGATGTAGGTAGTCCTATTTTAAATATGCTACCCAGTCACATTTGAAAGCAGTCCAGTTGATCCATTTGGGCATTAACACCCCAATCATCCTGTCTGCAGAGATCCTGCCAGGCATGTGGTAGGTTAACTCAGGATTTCTCAGCGTTAGCATTAGTGGAGTGGGTAATTCCTTCTGATGCAGGCTTTCCTGTGTGTGGTGGATTATTCAGTAGTATCCCCAGCTTCTGCTGCGAGATGCCAGTAGCACAGTGCTCCAAGCACAGCAGGCAGAAATGTCTGAAGACCTTGCCACGTGCCCATGCCCACCACTTGAAACTGGCTCAGCTTGGAATATCTGCTATACAGCCTGGCACAAAGAGGACGCTTGGGAGGTAGTAGTTTGCCCTCTGGCATTGCCTCTGGCCTGCTTGTTTTTGTTTAAGTGTATTCTTTCAAGTGCTAATACTTTCCCCTTGTGTTTTAATAAAAATCCTTCTAAAATGTGTTAAAACTATCATGATTCCTTAAACATTCCTTAAAACAAGAAATAAGGCTTTTCTAACAGAATGTCATTATAAGCACCAGCTATTCTACTGTATTGTAAATGTTTTTGGTGACACTTTCGAATGATCTCAAGCATCATTTAAAAAAAATCATCTATTATTTTTCACTTTATGTTTCTGTGTGGGAGCAAACTGTTGAAATACTTACTTAAGGTATACTAAGCTGATCTTCTGTATATTAAGATAATCGAATCTTGATGTGAATGGAAGGGGAGAGGGAGTGGGAAAGGGGAGGGTTGTGGGTGGGAGGGACGGTATGGGGGGGGAAGCCATTGTAACACAGGAGTCGTACTTTGGAAATTTATATTCATTAAATAAAAGATAAAAAAAAAAAATTCTTTGGCCCAGGAGGCCATTGGTTCTGCTAGTTGGCTGTCATCTCTCTCTGTAGAAACTTCTCTCACACCTTTCCCAGCCCTGTCTGCTACAGGCAAAAAGAGCCCAGGTTGCTAGGGAAACCACCTATGCACAGTGTTAAATTAGGAGCTTCTATGCACACTTGGTAATTGGAAGACTTTGGTCCCCGGCCACTCTTAACTGTCCTTCAGGATTGGGGCTTACATTCCAAAGTTTTGTCCTAGTGTTGAAGAGTATTAGACTCTGATCTGCCCTTGGCTGTGTGGCTTCCTTATGTTTAAAGGCTGAAAATGTTTTCAAGCTGACTGCCAGATAAGTTCAATCAGAGGGGTAGTTTGTTAACCCACTGTCCCTCAACATTGACACTCTGACATTATCCAAAGTAATAGAGCTGAAAGATGTTTAAACCGAACATTTGTCAGTCTGTCCTAATGACGATGACTCCCTCTGTCTTTGCAGTGGAGTGGCAGATACTTAGATTTGTTATTCTTACAGTTATTTCTAATCTGGAACTATTTTGCAGCCAAATTTGCCTTGTACTGATAATGTAGCATTTGATATGGAAAGGCTGACCAGAACCCAAGCAGTCAACCGAAGATCAGCCCTGGGTGACCTTGCCAGTGACAACTCCCTGGGCCTTGAGCCACTTCGGACTTCGGGGATATCGCCTCTTCCTCAGGATGGGGAGCTCACTCCTAGGACAGGAGAGATCAACATTGCAGTAACAAGTAAGTGGTGACCCCTTGCCCAGGCACAGGGCAGCCACGTAGTCTGCAACCCGGAAAGTAATGTGTGCTTTTGTTCAGGTACTTGGGATGACGGCGCTTTCTCTATTATAAGGAGCTTGTATATTTGGATGTATTTGACAGGAATGGCTGCATTTAATGAGTAGTCATTCAGGGAGTTTGTCTTAACTGGCTGTTTGCTGGACCTTATGTTGAAATCATTGCACTGCAAATAGACGGTTAAGAGGGAGACGCTGGAATGTGACATCTGCGTCAGCAGCATCACCAGTGTGTGCATAACTGAGTGCCGGAGCCCTCGGATCTCCCAGGCTGCAGGCCTGGTGAAAAAATGACGCAGAATTTGAGCCTAACCGTGCACAGCTTGAGGAACGGTTGAGACTGCCTGTTGTTGCTCGCTCTGTTTTACACTCTATATGGTCTCTTGGCACTTAATTCTATTATAATTGTACACGAGGCGAGAGAAAAGCTGAGAGGTAATCTGCCTAAACAATACTCTGGGCTAGTTGTGAACATCATGATTGTTGAACTGTTGACAAGCAGAGAAGAAATGCACCAAGTGTTTCGATGGCGGTGCCTAAGGTACGGTGTGAGTGGGTCGGCAGCGTGTGTGTGAGCGTGTACACATGCACCCTAACAGGCCATCTTCTCTCTTTGGTTCCATCCTTTACACATTATTGCCATCTAACAACCTTCACCCATCTTTCTTGTCGCCACTCTGGTGCTGCCTCTTCCAGTGTGTCCCATTGCTTGCCTCAGCCTCACAGCCTGCAGCTTCTGGGACTGCGCTTCACGCCAGGAGTCAGAGAGGCAGTCAGTCACGCGGGTGAGGCCCTCACAGAGCACTGCCCGACTGAAGGACGTTTTGAACCAAGCAGGGACTGTTCACTACAGTCGGGTTTCCCACTGTTCTATTCGATCATTCATGTAAACCCAAAGATCCCCCTTCATTTAGTTATAAAATAAGTCAGACTATTGTGTGCTGTGATTTGGCTCATTTCTTACCATTTCCAAGTGACGTGTTTTCATAGCATTCCATGGTTTTCCTACTGTGCAATCTAGGTTTGTTGGGCTAGGCCTGAGAGTAATAGAGGAGATGGAGGCAGTTTGTTAATGAGTCTTTGTAGGTCTCTTCTGACTCAGATGCTACTATAAGGTTGGGACCCATTCTACTTTATGTAGTAATACCCTGTCAGAATCTTGGGTTTTGATGATAAAGTAGCATTACTTCATATACCAAATTAATCCCCTTTGACAGAATCTACACATGATGTTAGTAAATGAAATTCATGTGGCTAAACTAGACCAGAGCTACCTGTACTTTTCCCTCCAAAGCCCTGGGGCGCCACAGCCACTACAGTACTGTGTGCAAGGCACTGTGCTAACTAGGCACCGGGGAGGACACAGGTGCCCGCGGCCGGCCACGGTGGGTTGCTGCTAGAATACCTGTGGGCCTGTCATGGTGCTCGCTAGCCTTTATTTATAACTGAAGTGACACGCATATAGATGTGTACTCAGAATGTGGGAACGTAGACATAATTGAAGTTCTAAAAATTAGTCTGCTTATTATATGTTAAAGAGGCTAAGGAGGAGAAAGCAGGCTGTATTCGGCTCCTTATGCATCTTAAGGTTGGTGTGTACTCTTCTCTCAATGTTTTAGAATGCCATTGTGCACTTCTCCTGACGCATTAAAAGGGTGGCTTTCATGTGGATTCGTGAATGTACATTTTGACCTAAATAAAAAGCTTCAGTCTGGAGATGAGGAAAATCGTAATCCAAAAGGCAGTGGATGCCCTGTTATTTATTTGTTTTTTTATGACTTGCATCTTTTTTTAATTTTTTTTAAGGAATACAAATTTAATAAGTACAACTTTAGGAATATAGTTGCCCTGTTATTTAAAGAGAACAAACTAACTAGCTATTTTAATAGTGTAAACCAAGACAGGTGGATAAATGTTCACAGAACAAGCCCAGCATCCTGCAGAGAGCTCTTCTAAACCTTTGAAGACTAAGATGACAGTCTAAGGGAAGAGCGATAACCTTTCTGAAGAAACATGCCTGTGCACACTCAATTTTGGATGCAGTTTTAGGACTCATGGGGCTCGGATTAAGAAACGTTGCATCAGGCACAGCTCTGTGTATAAACATTTGGCATCCTGGCAGTAAATATTTCCTCTCTGTCCCTGCAGAGGTGGAGGGGATTTTACTGTGAACTACTTTGTTGGACCAGCCCAAGCTGTGAACACTCTTAAGACTGTACTTGAGACTTTTTAGGGAGTCAGACTAATTTTGTTGAAGTTCTCAATAAATACTTTCTAAAAATGTTTTCATCTTATTTGAAAGTCAGAGAGAGAAAGATAGAGATCTTCCATCCACTGGTTCACTCAAAAAATACCCACAACAACCCCAGCCTGGGCCTGGTCAATACCAGGAGCCTGGAACTCCATCCTGGTCTCCTACATGGTGGTAGGAAGCTAAGTACTTTATCCATTCCCTGCTGCCTCCCAGGGTGCACAACAGCAGGAAGCTGGAATCAGAAATGGAGCCAGAACTTGAACTCAGACACTCCGATATGGAATGTGGACCTCCCAGGCAGCGTCTTAACTGCTGTGCCAAATGCGACTCAGATGCTGGGTTTAAAACGTGACCTTGGCAATACAGGCTCTGAAACGTAAAGGAGAAATATTAACAAAGTTTTTGGATGGACAGAGCCTCAGAGTCTGCATAAAAACCCTTAGAGCTCTACGTTCCAGAGGTTTTCATCTCTTTAGTGGACCGGTGCTTGTCTGTCCCCATCCTGCCAACTCCTCCTGAATGGCACAGCCAAAACAACCAGGGCTGCTTCCCAGCACCAGGAGTGTGAAGCATGGTGCCTGGTTTCCTGAGACACCACTGAGGTGTTCTCTTTATGTGAATAGTGTAAGTCACCCCATGCAGTAGGGAAAAGAATGTAGACAGCAATGCCGTGGAAGGCCAGCATGCAGACTGCGTGGAGCACCCACGAGACCTTTGAGACCTTGCTCCGTATTTCTGGCCTTTACCTAAGAATGAGCAACACAACCATGCAGAAATGACAAAGTGAAGAAGAAAAGAAGATTCTAAGTATGGTTAGTCTACTTTGCTGTCATTTAAATTCACAGTGGGAAAAACCTATATCCACGCACAGTTTTCTATTTTTTCCCTACACACTGTTTGGTGGCCACACTCGTCACGTCCTAAGAACCTAAACTGGAAGAAATGGCCGGGCCGCTGTCCTGTCTCCCGCGCAGCTCTCACCAGCACTTCCACTAACCTCCTCCAGTTAGTAGCTCTGGCAGATCTCCTCCTGCTTCACTGCCTTGGGCCAGTCTTGGCTTACACCTCCGTTGACGTCTGCTTCGTTGCATTTGAGGGAAATGTTGACATCACTTTGACTTAAACCTTCTCCCCAGAGTGATTTCCTCCCTTTCCTTTGTCAACAGAAGAATGGTTTATTATTGCCAGTTTTGGCCTCCTCAGTGCTCTCACTCTCTGCTACATGATCATCAGAGCCACAGCTAGCTTGAATGCTAATGAGTAAGTAACAAATTGTTTTTTGGATTGCATGTGCCAGATAATCCCAAAAAAAGACACAGGTTAATTTTCATAAAGGTAGTGAGAATTAGCTTTCCACCAGCTTCATTCAGATCCCAGTGGGGTCACACCTAGCAAAATAATTTATTTCATGAGCATACTTTTAGTGCACCACACAGATTGGGAGTTCACCATGTTCAACAAGAGCAGCTCTCTTAAGAAGGGATCTAGAGAGAGGTTTTCATTAGCATGAGCTTATGAAATCAACAGGGCACACATGTCAGTCTTGTTAGGCAAAAGGAAGGACCCCCTTGGCTTGGGCTCATCAAGATTTCTGGAATCCTGCATACTTAGCTTTTGGGCAGACACCAGCACCCTTGTCAGTGATGTGGATGTTTACCTGCGGGAGAGAAATAATCAGGAAGGCCTGCTGTCTAATTTTAGGAAGACTGCCAGGGGGATGAGAAAATGAGCATGGACTTTATCTCCAAAGGGCAGATTCCAGGAAGGCAGGTCTCACCACAGGAAGAGGAGGAACATGGGGTTGCCAGGGGCAGAGCCTGGGACTGCGGTGCAGGCAGAAACTGGCGTTCCTTGTTGTGACTGCTGTGCACTTATTCTGAGGATGGAAGTTAGGCAGAATGAATCAGGTCCATGGCAGTCTGGTGATTTTCCAAGGTGACTTTCTATAGAAATAAGACACAGAAAAGGCTTTCCATTTTAGCTTTAAATTTAGGGCATTTACTGCAAGACGTTACCTAGGTTTTTTCTTTTAGCAGTTTCCCTGAAAGCTGACTAGAGATGAAAGCAACCCTGGAGCTCTGCCCAAATTTGAGCCCCAGTGGGTGCCAGTGGAATTCATGTGCTCTCCGTATTCAGTTATGTCCTGGCACCATAAGTGATCAGTAATTAATCAGACACATTTGTGCTGCTGATTTAATTGACTGTCCGTTGTCCAGCTTTAGAAACAGTGGGCAAGCCTAGCAAGTTACCCTGACCTGTTGGCCGGACCCTTGCAAGAATCCCCTGTGGCCTCCAGGACCTGCCCAGTGCGGCTTTGCTCCAGCAGAGCAGCGATGTTGCTCGGACTCCACACCTGGATCTAGAGGGGGCAAGTCCCCTCCCGCACTTCGTAATTGTGAGCCCTGGGCAGTTACATGTATCTGAAGCTCATTGAGGTCTTCTGTAAGGCAGGGAGAATGGTAGGACGGCATCACAGGGTCCTTGTCGAATCAACACAAGAAGCGCTTAGCACAGTGCCTGGTACATAAGTGCTCGATAAGCATTAGCCACATCCATTGCAGCCTTTAATCAGTTATGTGACCTTTATCTTGGTCAGCGATTTTAACTTCTTCCATGAAATAGGATATGAGGCCATAGGAGCTCTGTGAGTGCCTGTGATCCAGAGTGCAATTCAGAAGGAAACACTTACT